AATTACTACTCTTAGCTTTTAGCTAGCCTTAGAATATTTTTATTTACCATTCTTCCTTTTTTAGGTTATTGCTAACTATTTGCTACTTTTTAAGCTAGCCTTTTATATGGTTATTTGTTACTTTTAGCTTTTATTTCCTTTTGCTACTTTTAGCTAACCATTTACTAATTTAAGCCAGCTTTTTCCTACAGTTAGCATCAAGCTAGCCTTTTGTTGCTCTTCTTTTAGCTAGCAATTTACAATTTAACAAGCCCTTTCCTCTTTTTCTTTATCATTTTTCTGTTTTTATGTTTTAGCTAACCTTTTGAATCTTTTTTAGTCATTGTTTTGCAACTTTTAGCTTTTAGTTTGCATTCTGTCTTTTAGCTTTAAAAACTTGATTTAAGCTTCTTTGGTAAACTTCACTCTGGGTTTTTGTCTTATTTTTTTTCTTTTTTCAGACCGTATAAACATCAGGCGAGGCGGGTCGTGGCCCTCAGCCTACCTGTCGGTCCAGAACGTGATCGACTGCGGCAGGGCGGGCTCTTGTTATGGAGGGGATCACCTCGGGGTTTACGCCTACGCTCACAAACATGGCATTCCTGACGAAACCTGCAACAACTATCAGGCTAAAAATCAGAGTCAGTTTTGCTCCCAKTTTAAATGATACAGTTTAAATGTTMAAAGAAACTGATCTCTGTAAATAAACAGCAGTTTTCTTGTGTTGTTTTTTTTTTTCAGAGTGCGTTCAGTTTAATCAATGTGGAACCTGCTCCTTCKTTCAGTCCTGCACTGATGTGAAGAACTTCACCAGGTGGAAAGTCTCAGACTATGGAGAAGTTTCTGGAAGAGACAAAATGAAAGTTGAGATTTACACTAACGGGCCAATCAGGTAGATTCTGATCACTGCAGGATAATAATAATATAATAATAATAAATGTGAAAATTTACCAGGCAGTTAAAARACTCGTCTTTTTACTCTCAGCTGTGCCCTGATGGCAACTGAAGGCCTGGAGAAATACTCCGGAGGGATTTTCTCAGAGTTTCACCCGCTCTCTTTGCCGAACCACATCATCTCCGTGGCCGGCTGGGACGTGGACCAAGACGGGAACGAGTACTGGATCGTCAGAAACTCCTGGGGAGAGTTCTGGGTCGGTTCTTATGTCACAACCTCAGCTCTGTGCGCCGACTTCCTGCTGTAAATTCACTGCCTCGTAGATTTATCCTTTGGTTAGCAAGGTTAGCTTTCTCAGGTTGCAGAGTGAATAAYAGAAAGTGTGTTTTATGCAGCTAATGCTCAGTGAATGTCTGCTAAATGTTGCTAAAGAAGCTAAAACTTAAAGGTAAAACAAACAAAAGAGACTAAAATTAACAAACCAAACCAAAAGCTTCGATCAGTTAAACAGAAGTTAAAATTAACAAAACAAACATTAATGCTATAAGTAGCAGCATATATGCTAACATTAGCAAACAGAAGCTAAAAGTGTCATAGAGCTAAAGCTAAAATTAGTAAAATAAGTAGCAAAACAAACAATAATGCTCAAACTAGCAAAGCATGGGCCAAAATTAGCAAAACATTAGCTAAAAGCAACAATATGCTAAAGCTAAAATTAGTAAAACTGTAGCCAAAAGTGGCAAAAAAAATGTTCAAAGTAGCAAACATAYGCTAAAACTAACAAAACAGCAGCTAAAAGCAGCAATATCCWAAAGCTAAAATGAGCAAAACAGATAATTTTAGATACTTTTTTTGCTTTTTTAGTTACAGGTGCAAAAATTAATGTTAGCCAGATTAGATAAAAGTAGCAAAATGGATGCTAAACCTAAAATTAACAAAACAAATGATAAAAGTAGCGAAACAAACATTGATGTTCTAAGTACCAAAACATGAGCTAAACTTAGCAAAGCATTAGCTAAAAGAGGCAATATGCTAAAGTTAAACTTAGCAATGCATTAGGTAAAAGCGACAATATGCTCAAGCTAAACTTAGCAAAGCATTAAGTAAAAGCGACAGTATGCTCAAGCTAAACTTAGCAAAGCATTAAGTAAAAGCGACAATATGCTAAAGCTAAACTTAGCAAAGCATTAGGTAAAAGCGACAATATGCTAAATCTAAACTTAGCAAAGCATTAGGTAAAAGCGACAGTATGCTAAAGCTAAACTTAGCAAAGCATTAGGTAAAAGCGACAGTATGCTAAAGCTAAACTTAGCAAAGCATTAGCTAAAAGAGGCAATATGCTAAAGTTAAACTTAGCAATGCATTAGGTAAAAGCGACAATATGCTCAAGCTAAACTTAGCAAAGCATTAAGTAAAAGCGACAGTATGCTCAAGCTAAACTTAGCAAAGCATTAGGTAAAAGCGACAATATGCTAAATAACTTAGCAAAGCATTAGCTAAAAGCGACAATATGCTAAAGCTAAAATTAGCAAAACAGTAGCATTATAAATATAATAAATAATAAAGGTAAAGTCAGCCAATTGGTAGATAAAGGTAACAAGACAGATGCTAAAACAAACTAGCCAAACAGTAGCTAAAATAGCAAAATATGCTAAAGATAAATCAGTAAATTCTTGCAAACGTCCAGCAAAAACTTTATTAGGAGGTAAATCCTTGCTAAAAGGAGCAGAACAGTGGCTAAAAGTTAAAAGTAGTGACAATAAGAAGGTAAAAAATAAGAAGTAAAAAGGCAAAAATGGAGCAGGTCGGCTGAAGTAGTTTGATTAAAACAATCTGCAGAAGAAACTGTGAAATAGCRTGAAWGCTGACTCAGCGTTGGTACAATAAATGTTTTTCTCTTGTTGTTCAGGGGGAACACGGCTGGGCGAGAATCGTTACGTCTGCTTTTAAAGGAGGAAAAGGCAACTGGTTCAACTTGGGTATTGAGAAAAACTGTGCTTATGGAGACCCTGTTGTAAAATAAAGTTTTCAATAAAGTTTGTTTAAAAAAACCTGTTAATTTATGAAATTTAATTTCAGTTCTCTTCCAAAAAAACTGCAGATAATCCTGTGGTGAGGTTTTAGTTTGAAAAGTCACAGCTTCGCTCTGCGGCTGAATAAATATTCCTGCATTGAATCAGTAAATTAAACCAGAAMCTGCAGCCTGAACAGAAGACCCTCCACTGGAGGAAAAAAACAAACAAACATCCATCTGCAAAAAAATCTGCTGTTTCAGTTCAGTGCATAAAGGCACATTTCACACAGGGAAGTTATTTCCTCCCTCTGTTGACAGGTGAGCAGAGTCTTTACATTTAAATAAAATTGYTTTAGATAAACTGACGTTGGCAAAACTGTTTCCTTCGACACGTCGCAGAACTTCAGTAACGACTCCTGAAGAACGTCTGGGACCGGCTGCACCTGAGAGCAAAACCATCACCTGTTTTATTTTGATCRAACTAAATGAGGTTCATGCTTATTTTAAATGGGGAACTTTGTATTTAAAAACAAATATAGATGAATTAACTCATAAAAATAAGATTCCCACTCATAATTATGAGATGCTTTCTTCAAATGCTTCTCTGGGGTGTCCAAGTATTCACATTAGAAGCACTGTATAAATACTAGGGTTTAAAAAGACTTCTGTTAAAAGAAAAGTATGAACTTAAGCGTTTTATCAGAGATGATTAAAGTACTTGGAAAAAAAAACTTTAACAGAAAATGACAATTTCACTGATAAAAAGGTAAAAGTCATAAAACTGCTCATAATCACTGGGGAAGTAAAAGTACTCACATGCACACKGTAAAAAATTAATTTAATTTATTTAACCAAGTTCTGACAAATGGTTCCACTAAAATGAGTTCAGCAAATTGAGCAATTCACAAATTTCCAGAGGTGGGCACAGTTACACTAAAGCACTAATGGGGGAACTAATTTCCTGATTAGTGCTTTAGGGCTTTTGCTATTTTTAAAAACGTCTACAGCGCTGCCATTGGCAGTATCACTCCACCCCCTGTTAACAAAAGGGATTAATTAGGGTGAACGATGGCCATGTGATGTGGGTATCAGTCACCTGTGAGTCATAGCCAGGTGATGTGAGTGGGAGTCACCTGTGAACGATGGTCATGTGATGTGAGTATCAGTCACCTGTGAGTCATAGCCAGGTGATGTGAGTGGGAGTCACCTGTGAACGATGGTCAGGTGATGTGAGTATCAGTCACCTGTGAGTCATAGCCAGGTGATGTGAGTGGGAGTCACCTG